GTAGTAGTAGTAGTCGTAGTCGTAGTCGTAGTCGTAGTCGTAGTCGTAGTCGTAGTCGTAGTCGTAGTCGTAGTAGTAGTAGTTGTAGTTGTAGTAGTAGTAGTAGTAGTAGTAATAGTAGTGGCAGTAGTAGTAGTGGCAGCGGTAGTGTGAGTAGTAGTAGTCGTAGTAGTAGTGATAGTAGTAGTAGTAGTAGTAGTAGTTATACTAGTAGAGTTGGCAGTGGGAGTATTAGTTGTAGTAGCAGTCGTAACTTCAATGCTCACACACGTGCGAGTAAACCGTGTTTTTAGCCACGGTCGTAGAACAAGAGAAGGTCGTACTAGTAATGGTGCTAGCTGTCGTAGCAGTAGCAGTAGCAGTCGTAGTCGTAGCAGTAGTTGCCGCAGTAGTAGTAGTGGTAGTAGTCGTAGAAATAGTCGTAGCAGTCGTCGTCGTCGAAGTAGTACGATTATGTTCGGGCGCCGCCCATCTGTAGTATGATCTTGGTAGAGCGCCATCCATCTCTCGCAAGACATCCTTTGATGTCCATCCACCTGCAGTAGGATTCTATTCGGGCTTCAGTCATCCCTAGTCGGGTCCTACGAGATCTCCACCCATCTCCTGTAGGATCCCATTCGGGCCATCCATCTCTACTCGGGTCCCATAAGTGCCACATCCATCTCTAGTAGGACCCTTTTAGAGCGCCGCCCATCTCTAGTCGGATGTTGTTGGAGCTTCACCCATCTTTCGTAGGATCCGATTCAAGCTCCATCCATTGCTAGTGGAATCACAGTGGGGCCCCATCCATGTCTTATTCGGATCGTATCGGTGGTCGATCCATGTCTAGTCGGACCCGATTAGAGGTCAATCTTTCTCCTTATTTTGACTTGGTTCGAGATCCACCCATTGTTCGTAGGGCCCCATTGGATCTGCATCGCTTTCTAGTAGGATCGCACTTCCTAGTAGGGTCCCATTAGAGCTACATCCATCTCTACTCGTGTCCCATACGTGTCACATCCATCTCTAGTATGACCCTTTTCTAGAGCGCCGCCCATCTCTAGTCGGATCTTGTTGGAGCTTCACCCATCTTTCGTAGGATCCCATTCAAGTTCCATCCATTTGTAGTGGGATCCCAGCGGGGCCGCATCCATGTCTTAGTAGGATCGTATCAGTGGTCGATCCATGTCTAGTCGGAATTGATTAGAGGTCAATCGTTCTCCTTATCTGACCCGATTAGAGATCCACCCATTTTTCGTATGATCCCATTAGATCTGCATCGCTTTCTAGTAGGATCGCTCTTCCTAGTCGGGCCCCATTAGAGGTCCATCCATTTTTATGTGGACCTTATCCGAAGTCCAATCATTTTCATCCGTCCATGTGTTTGGAAGGTCTTAGTAGAGCTCTACCCATCTCTAGTAGGATTCGATTCCTTCACCATTCGCCGCGATCAGGATTCCAGTAGAGGTCCATTCATCCCACAAGTGTTCTTCGTGGAGCTTTATTCACACCCAAACGGATTCTAGCGGAGGTCCACTCATTCCTATCAGGATCCTATTATAACGCCTTTCATCATTAATCTGTTCTGATGCGACGACCACTCATCCCTAGTATGGTCATTTTATAGGGCCACTCTTCCGGAACAGGATCCTAGTAGAGTTCCACTCGCCCCTAATAGGATCCCCTCGGAGGTCGAATCACCTTTCGCAGCATCCTACTTGAGGGCCGTTCAGTTTTGTGATAACCTTATTAGGGTTCCCGTCGTTCCGAATAGGTTCCTATGAGAGCTTCAGACACCCCCAGCAGGGTCCTACTAGAGCTACACAAATTTCTTCGAGGATCCTACCAAGGCTCCAACCATGTGTAATAGGATCTCATGGAAGCCCTATCCATCTTCTTAGTCGGATCCGAGAGGTCCATCCATCTCGAGCATGATCCTATGATAACTCCATCCGTCTTTCGTGAGATCCCAGTAGAGCCCAATGGAATTATTATTCGGATCCTATCAGAGCTCCAGCCATCTCGCGTAGGATCCGAGTAGAGCCCCATCCAGCTTTAGTAGGACCCCAGCAGAGGTCCATCCATCCCTAGTAGGTCCTGTTAGCGGAGGCAGCCAGCGGCGTCGCCTCGCCAGCGCGCGAGCGTTTGGCGAAGGCCGGGCCGCGTTGACCCCTAGATGGGTTCCAATTGATTTGTTAATGGTTTGTGTGAGTGTTGGTGCTGGTTGCTGGCTGCTGCCTGCTGCCCCCGCCCCCGTGGGCACGCGATTCCGTAATCGCGAATGGAAACATCGGATTCGCTTGTTCTGGGTGGGGAGGGGCGCACACAGGCGTTGATGCTGGTGGTGCTGCTGTTGTTGTTGAGTTCTCGATTCTAAAGAATAGCTGTGGTTGATCCCTCTCCCTGGTAACCGTTTTATGTTTCAATTCTAGACGCTTCGCGTAACCCCACCAGCCCATCCAGAAGCGATGCCCAGAGGAAGTGCCTCGATCAGTGAAGTGGGTAGCACGCAGAGGAAGGGTCCCCCAGTGGAGGCTTCTTGGAGCGTCTTGAGGGCCGCTTGGCGGTCCCGGATGTCTCGTAGAGCGTCTTGGGTGCCTCGGAGAGCTTCTTGGGGCCTGTTTGGGGTCTTTTGGGGCCTCTTGGAGGCCTCTGGGGCGCCTGTTCGGGCCTCCTGGGCGCCTCTTGGGGCCCTCTTGAAGCGCTCTTGGGAGCCTTGGGAGCGCTCTTGGAGCCCTCTTGGCCATCTTGGAGTCATCTTGAAGCCTCGGATGGCCATCGGAAGCGAAACGGCGAGAAAGCTCAAAACATTGATTTTCCGTAGGTTTGGGAAGGCTGTTGGCCTCTTCGGGGCCTCCTCGGGGAGCTCTTTGGCAACTTGGAGCCGTCTTGAAGCGGTCTTGGGGTCTCTTGGAACATCGTGGGGGCCATCTTGAGGCATCGTGGGATATCTTGAGCCATCTTGGAGGTCATCTTGAGCTCTCCCAGGCGCTCTTGGAGTCATCTGAAGCAGTGCCCCCCCCCAGGAGGCCCAAATGCAGCCAAAACCTGAATAAAATAAATGATTTTGGCAGTCTCGCCGAGGCCTCTTTGAGCGTCTTGGATGCCTCTGGGGGGCTTCTTGGGGCCTCTTGGGGGGGCTCTTGGGAGCCTCTTGGGGGCATCCTGGGGGCCATCTCTGGGCCCCGTGAGGGGTTCGCGCCCTCGACACGCAGGAATCTCGCTTTCGCCTTGGAATCCTTCACGATATATTTGGAAATCGCGTTATCGTTCGAGATTCCCTCACGATTCATGCAGGAAGAACGCTTCAGCAACCTGCCTGCTCGACCTGGCCGCCTGGGCCCGCCTTCCCGACCCAACCGTTTGGGTCTACCCGCCTGATCTGCCCGTCTGGTTCTTCCATTTGTTTTCTGTTCCTAACCCCTTCTCCTGCCACTCTCTCTCTCTCTCTCTCGTGTTCCATCCTCCTCCCTCGCCCTTGTCCCTTCCTTGCATCCATCCGCTCTTTCCCTGTCTTAGGGGCTGCACGTAATACGCGTTACAAGTAAGACAGATATGCCCCTAAGGGGGTACGATCGAAAACGAAGAGGCGAGGGTTTGGGATACACGTATTGAAGGGCACGCGAGCAGATAAGAGCGAACAGTTTTAAAGTTGTCGTTGGTGTTGGTGTTGTTGTTGGTGTTGGTGTTGGCGGTGTTGTTTTGTTGTTGTTGTTGTTGCTGCTGTTGTTGCTGTTACTGTTTAATGTTTGTAATGTTTGTTGTCGTCCTCCCCCTCGCGACCCGGCCCGCGACCCACCCGCGAACCACCCGCGACCCACCCGCTACCAAGAAGCCCACCCGCGACCCCGCCCGCGACCCAGCCGCGACCCACCCGCGATCCAACCCGCGACCCATCTATCTAGTTCTCCGGAAAAATCAGCTTTTGCGTCAGGCTCACTGCATAATTCGTAAAAGCTGGGCGCCTGCGGCGGGCTACTTCTGTGCCTCGCAGACTGCCGACGTCCTCGCCGCCACCTCACTCTCATCCGCAACTGCGGGGTGCTACGCAGTTGTTCTCAATCGCTGAGCCCAAACCTCTCCCGCGTCGTGAAACAAAAATCACGACGAACTGTGTTGGGTCATCTCTCCGTTCCTGGGTGCCTTTGCAGGGCACTCGACCCGTCAGAGGCGACCAAGGATTCAAGTCAATCCTGGGGCAGGGGTCGTGACCTCCGGGGGTCCGCCTTGCGGAACAAATCACGACGTTTGTGTGTCTGGATCTCCCCTCGCTGCCGGGTAGGTCGCGATGAGGAGAGGGACTTTGAGGCAACGGCATTCTGAGATTGGAGGGCTTTGCCCCACTGGCCAACGAGCCCATGACCTCTAACAGACCGAGGTGTCGGGATGTTTCCGTGGTGCCTGTCTCTGGGGGTCTCCAGAGGCTTCGTGGGAGCATCAGACGTCCTCCAAGACATTGGGGACCTGTGGCTGGCTTATTGCCACTGATGCTGTTCAATCCTGCACATTTGTCTCTCTGTCTTACCTCCCTGAATCTGTTCTCGGGCCGTCAGGCACGGGGAGTGTGTCGAGAGTTTCGGGTCTTCGGAATGACACCATCATTCCGCTGGAGTTATGGTTTCCTCGAGGTCGCGGACGGGTGGACGCATGGTCTTTAGCTTGTCTTCACCTAGGCCCGCCTGCCAGCTCACGGAGTAGGAGGAGGAGGAGAGGGTCGAGGAAACGGACGACGACGACGATTACGACGACGGCACGTCGCTGGGGAGAAGGAGGAGGAGGAGGAGGAGGAAGAGCAGGAGGAGATCCCACCGTCCCAGTTGCAACTAGGTCAGGGACGGGAAGAGGAGTACGGTGAAGCGCAAGGGCAGGGCAGCTGCTGCCCCGAGCCAGGCAGCACATGTTTCGACGTCAAGTGGGTCCTCGTGAGCGAAAGCTTCTCGCTCTGGCGCTCTCCTCTTGCCTCGGCTCCCCGAGTGGCTCGATCAATTCGGCTTCGTTGCGTCATGCTCGGCTGTCCCCAGGAGCGGGTGGGCATCCTCAAGGTCCGTGCCCAGGAGAGCGAAGCTCTCAAGCAGGCGAAGGCGACGCCGATCGCCGCCGAGCGAGGAGTGATGGGCCACGTGGTTCCAGGGACGGTGGTAGCCCCATCTGCCTATGTATGTGGATGTACATTGATATATATATATATATATATATATATATATATATATATATATAATCCGAGCAGGTCATCGGATTCCTGTAACTGTCGTCACTTTTGGGCTCCTCAGGTTTGAATTTGGAGGAAGTATCAAGCGGGAGCCTCGTCTGTGAGTGACTTGTGAGGAAGTCTCAAGCGGGAGCCCCCTCCCTGTGGGGCCCGCAGATCATGTTACTAATCCGAGCGGGTCATCGGATTCATGTTGTGTCCAATGTACCCATCGGTCGTTGAAAGTATGTATCTTCGAATTCCCACATTCCAATATACTGTAAGCGCCATCCTACTTCAATTATCGAGTGTTTTCAAATGTTCCGACCTTCAAGGGGGCGGGCGGAACCCAATATGTTTTCAGTGGTTTCTTTGTTTCATGTTTCTACCTATATCTTCCGAGCGATGGGTATGTGTGTGCTTGTTCGTCTATGTTATTGCGGCGTGCTGCTGGCGCGCTGGTGTTCGTCGTTGCCAGTGCTTGGCGATGTCGTTGTGCTAGGCGCCAGTCTCACAGAGGAAATATTCATACCTGCGGATCCTCGCCTCGGTACTCACTGGGGTTTGCCAGCTTGTCCTCCAATATTTACCGATCTGCACTCCGCAGGTCGAAAGAAACAACTTTCAAACCCGTTGGCTCAATAGCTCGAGCTTGTTTGATACTTCTGGCCTAACAAGGGCCAACCGCGCCCAGCAAGTTCGATATTCGACGATCGAGGAGGTGATTGTGAACGTTGACTCCACTCTGATCCACTGCAGTTGCACCTACATCTCGAGCGGCGTCCCTGTCCCTACCTACATCCCACCAGCTTTCTATCCTGCCGCATCTCCCTCCTCCCCCCCCGCAAACAAAACAACGACTTGGACACGCTTCGCGTCACCATCTAGCAGGCCACGCCCGTGTGGACGGGAGGGGAGGAGGAGGGAGGAGGGGGAGCGATGATGAGGTAAGAGAAGAGGACAGCTTCAAGGAGAGAGGAGGAGGAGGAGGAGGAGGAGGAGAAGGAGGAGGAGCAGAAGGGAAACGAATGATGAGGGATCACTGGCCAGGCAACCTGGCATGCGAGCGGGCCGCCACTGAGCAGTACCGCGGGTGAGTCGTGGCTAAGCCGAGGAACTGCCAACGGGGAACACCCATTGGCTGGGGCGCACCCCAGCTCGCAGTCTCTTGCCTGGGCTGCTAGACGGGAGCACAGCCCTGCTGCGCAGCTCCCGGGAGCTTCGAGGTGCTGGCCTGGTGCGCGCGCGCCGCGAGCACGTGCCGGCGCGCGCTGCTCGCGTGCCGCGGCGTGCCTTCCTGCCGCCCATGCGCCCCCCGGCGAGGAGCACCGAACCTCATTGGAGATGGGCAGTGGTGGGGGGGGGATCGGCGGGGGTGCAGGAGCAAGGGCGCCCTCGAGGGCACGAAGTTATTCGCGCTTCGCGGTTCGGCTCCGATTTCTCCTTCTCCTCCTCCTCTTCTCCCCTGGGAGGCGGCGCGAGAGCGCGAAGTCATTTGCACTTCGCGCAGCGCGAAGCGCGAAGTTGGGAGCCCTTGGCAGTGTTTGGGGGGATCGGCGGGAGTGCAGGAGGATGTGAAGGGGGGCGGGGAATTCATTCTTGACGCAAGCCTCCTGCAGCAAGAGTCTGGCCTCTCCCTTGCGCGGGTCGCTGTGTCTAAGCGGAGGGGGCGCGGGCGGAAGGAGAGCAGAGGGGAGGGCGGAGGGGGTGGGGAAGAGAAGAAGGGAGCGTGCGGGAGGGAGAGGAGGAGGGCGGGAGGGAGGGGGAACGACGCGCGGGCACGCTCCGTCGTCCCCGGCAATAGCTCAGGAGGGGAAAAAACACACAGACACAATGAATCGTCGATCCCCCAGAAAATATGCGAAAATATCGGAGTTGGGGGGGAAGAAAAAAACCCGGAAGATATGGGAACATATGGGGGATCCTGTTGTTTGTGTGTATGTATTTGTGTGTCCCAGGGCCCCTTCAATATCGTGGATGAGGCAGAGAAAGCAGATCATGTCTTCCAGGCTGTAAGCCAGGTCGCCGAAGCGCTTCCCGCAGACAGCGCGCGATTGCAAAGCGATCCGGTAGTTTTCGACGCCGTAGTGCATGAGTTTGTCGTGCACAGCGGGCGACATTTTGATGAGCGTTTTCCAGTCGACTTCCGTGTCCTGGAACTGGCACCCAATGAATGACCAGCACCAGCGCACGGGCAAATCGCACGATCGCGTAGTTGCACAAGGTCTTGTAGGCGCGAAGTCAGGCGTTCAATATGGCGGCCGCGATTCGGGTCACGGACGCCTGTTGGCGACCGAACTGCAAGGCCATGTCTTTACATGTTTTCCGCCACTTCGCCCTGTCGGCGACCAGGGTCTTGCAGCGGACAGAGCCGCATCGACGTTCTGTTGGTTTTTCACGGTCTCAAACCTTGTTCGGAGATCGGGTCAGAGCAGTTTCCTCCTCTTCGACGTTTCCTTCTCTCGCACATTCCGCTCGCTGTGTTGCCAAAGGTGCCAAGGCGCCCCCAGGATTGACAAGAAGGCCCCCACGGCGTCCAGAGCACCGCTTCCGAGGCCCAGAGAGCCCAGTGTGTTCAAAACGTGTGGCAAAAACAGGAGACATCTCGGGTTAAATCGGGCATGTCCTTCTGCATGAATATTATCAACAAATAGTAAAATATAGTCTGGGGATGATAAATTTAATATTTTTGAACAATTTTGAGCAGTGTTTGATTGTTTTATGTTTCGTCCAACATCCCCCTGTAGGAGGACACGCCCGACCTAAATCTGGGGCCAGAACCCCTGGTATGATCCGAACTCTGCTGCCCCGCTTTCGACATCTCCAATTTCCGGCTTGGGAAGTCATCGTGAACCTCCTCGCCGCAGTGGGCTCGTTGGTAATGTAATTAAGGGGGTCGCAGGGCGCGAGCTAAACACAGTGTTCCGTCTTCGTGTTGTTTTCGTTTTGTGTTCGCTTTTCCTAGCTACCTTTGCTTCCGTTCCACCTTTGCTGCAAGACCGGATCCACCCGCAAACGGCCGCCGAAGTCGCCAAAACATTGTTCAGCTCGCGCCCTGGTCGCTCATTCTGTCGTCGATCCCCCGAGGCCGACCTGGAGCAGGGCATCTTGGCAGTGCGCAACGCGATCACGCTCCTCCGCCGGTACTACGGCAGCAGCGGCCAGGACGCGGCGCGGCCTTGCGCGTCGGCGCCGCCGTCGAGGGCGCCGTGTCGACCTGTCGATGCCGCCGTTGAGGGTCTTCGCACTCGGCGACGCCGCCGTCGCGTCGAGGGCGTCGCCGCCGTCGTCGAGGGCGCCGCCGGGGAGGGGTGAGGGGGGGGGGGAGGAGGAGAGGCGGGGACAACAGGCTGAGGAGGAGGAGGAGGAGGAGGAGGAGGAGGAGGAGGAGGAGGGGGGAGCTCGAGGGGGGAAGGGAGACAGGGAGATGGAGAGAGGGGGAGGGGGGGGGGCAAGCCAGGTGCGCTCGCGTCATATCTGACATCCTACCCCTCCCTCCCATCCCTTACCATGGCGTAGATCCCCTCTCTACTCGCACAGTCGGATGTCGAGCAGGGCAATGATCCCGAAAGGGTACGCGATGCATTGTAGAGCACGGCATGGCATGGCGTAGAAGAGCACCGCAAATCGTAGTATCAACCTAGCATTGCATTGCATGCCGTGGCATGGCACGGGAAATGACGCCAGCGCTGCAGCGGGAGCACGAGTCGGAACGAGCGGAATCGCGGAAATGAGGCCAGCGCTGCAGCGGGAGCACGATTCGGAACGAGCGGAAGCACGGACATGAGGCCAGCGCTGCAGCGGGAGCAAGATTCGGAACGAGCGGGGCCCGAAAATGAGGCCGGCGCCTCAGCGAGAGCAGCATTTTGGAAAACATGCAGGCGAAAACCCAATTCTGGGGAATCCTGTGTGTAAAATCAGTACGCGGGGGGGGGGCTAATACTTTCAAACCGTCATCAGGGGAAGAGGGAGAGTAGTATTCATATTGAGTAATTGTGGAGGGGGAGGGGGAGGGGAAGGGGTAGTAAGAGGGGGAGGGTGGTGGGAAAGAGAGGGGGGAGTTTGGGAGGAAAGTAGGAGAAGAAGGGGATGATGAGGAGGAGGAGGGAGGAGGAGGAGGAGGTGGAGGAACTCATCAGGAGGAGGAGCAGCGGAGGAGGAGGAGGAGGACGAGGAGGAAGGGCAGGACCCGGAGGGGCAAGGGGGACAAGAGGCGGCGCGCCACATGTTTGGGGTGTATGGGTGCTGTTCCCAGCCATCCTGCAATGTTGGGCCCTCGTTTTGAATACGAAGCGCCCAGCTCACCCACCTCCTGTTTCCCCTTTTCCCCTACTTTTCCCCCTCATCCCCGTCATCTCGTTACCGCCATCAACATCACTACCATCGCCATATCAACATCACTCTGAAATGTTGTTCGGCACCGTAGTGAACTCCACCTCCGGTCTCAGAGGGCGTGACCGCATGGCGTACCCGAGCCCATCCTGGCACATCCATCGCATGTTGCGTGCCGCTTGGGAAGCTTCACTTACGGTCTCAGTCGGCGCGACCGCATGGCGTCCCCGAGCCCATCTTGGCACACCTCTCACACGTTTCGTGCCCTGTAGGGATCTCCATTTACACTCTCAGTTCACGCGACCACGTGGCGTTCCCGAGACCATCTTGGCAGACGCTCACACGTTTCGTGCCCCTTAGGGAGCTCAGCAGACGGGGTCTCTGCTCTGTGGGCGCGATCGCGCCGATATCGTTTTGGCCCCCTCACATACTCAGTGCCATTCAGGGAGCTCCACCAACGGTTTCAGTGATAGCCTGCGGACCACACATGGTGACGCCGCTTGGCCGGCGGAGGAGAGAGTGCGTGCGCAGGGTGGTTGCAGGAGGAGGGGGCGGGGCGACCGTCCAAGGTGCCACCGCGGCTCGTGCCCCCCTCCCCCTGCACCGCGCGACGCCGCGTTCGCTCCACGGCGCCAGTGCGAACTCGTGGTCCCCGCGCCTGCTCAGAAGGCCGCCCCCTCGCCCCGCCTCCGCCTCTGGTGGTCGCCGCCAGCCCCTTCGATGTCGACGTACCCGTCGTTCGCTCTGTTCTGCGCCAGCTTCTCGCGGCCAGCCGCGCCGGACCAGTTTCTCCGGCCCCGCCCCGCGAAGTCAAGTCGCGTGGACATTCTTGCGGGCACCGCCACCGCCACACTGCTCGTGATCCTTGCTGGTCTTACTGCCCTTGTTCACCCCCCCCTCGCCCTGCGCCTGCTTCCCTTCCGCCCGGGCCGCGCGAGTCTTGCCTGTCGACGGCCGACCGCAAGTCACGGTGCTCTCTGGTTGATTCGGCCGGCATAGGCGGCTTGACGATTTTCTGGAAATTCAGGCGATTCAGACGCATAGGCGCCTCTCTTGTAAAGGGAAGCGGGCAGGGCTAGGGGGGGAGAAACAGATGGGGGAGGGAAATCAGGAGGAGCAGGAAGAGGGCGATCCGCCGGAACACCCAGGACCCCAAGAGACGCCAGAACACGTCCAAACCCCGCTCATCCTCGATCACAATTGATCCTTGGGGAGGAGCGTTTGGGCCTCCACTATGGCGGCACAGGACGAGTCGAAGCAGCAAGAGGGGCAGGAAGGGGAATAGCACGAGGATGCCCTCGACAGCCATCTCTCAACCTGTCCCTGAGCGTGAACTTGCCAGGTATATTTACAACTCTCAAACAAATGGTTTCCCCCACTGAGGAGCATCTGGAAGGTGAGTTTGGGCTCCCCCATATTTCCGACGACTTGAGTTGTTCGGATCGCCAGCCCTTGGGGCATCTTTCCCCGGGCCTGAAAGAAACTTGCTTCAAGAAGCCAGCGATAACGAAAAAAATCCGACGAGATTTTCCAAATCGCCAGAGGGTTGCCACCCCCCTTTCTCAAGAGGTCCCTGGATGTCCCTTGAAGCGTTGCCATGCCTTTCGAAGGCCCAGTAGGCCTCTAGAGGTTTTGTTTTCCATCTGCCCAGAAGGGCAACAAAGCAACATATCCAAACATGTGTACCTATGGTCCTCGATCGTACTTGGATCCTGGATTCCCTCGACTGCTTTGGCTTCCCAGGACTCATTCTGGGGCATTTGGCAGGTTTTTCAAGCTGCGCCCAGCCATGGGGACAAGAAGCTGCAGGATCACCTGATAACCTATGAAATGACGGTGTCGTGCGAAGTCGTCGTCGTCGTCGTCGTCGTCGTCGCCGGTGGCATCGGCGTCGGCGACGGCGTCGTCGTCGTCGTTCATTGTTTCGGGGCCCGACAGCAGGTCCTACAGTAAGAACCCGAGGAAAAACATAGATCGTCTGAAATTTGCGTCGGCGTCGTCGTAGTCGTCTGCGTCGTCGCGGTCATCGTCGCCTGCGCCGCCGCTGCCGTCGCCGTCGTTGTCGCCGTCGTCGCCGTCATTTTCGCCGTCGCCGCAGCCATCGTCGTCGGTAGCGTCGACGCCGTCGTCGTCGTCGCCGTCGTTATTGTCGTCGTCGTTGTTGCCGTCGCCGTCTCCGTCAGCAGCGTCGTCGTGTCCGCCGTTGCCGTCGCCGTCGTCGTCTCAGTCGCCGTCGCCCGCCGCCACCGTCGTCGTCGCCGTCTTCGTTGTCGTCGTCGCCGTTCTCGCCGCCGCCGCAGTCGACGTCGCCGTCGTTTTTGCCGTCGCTGTCGCCATCGTCAGCGTCGTCGTTCTCGTCGTCGTCGTCGTTAACGTCGCCGCCGTCGGCAGCGTCGTGTCGTCGTGGTCGCCGTCGTTGTCGTCCCCATCGCCAGCGTCGTCTCCGTCGCTGCCGTCTACGCCGCCGTCGCAGTCGTTGTCGTCGTCGTCGTTTGTCGTCGTCGCCGTCGTCGTCGTCGGCAACGTCGCCGCCGCCGCCGCCGTCGTCGTCGTCGTTGTCGCCGTTCCCGACGTCGCCGCTGTCGTCGTCGCCGTCGTCGTGGTCGTCGTCGTCGTCGCCCTCGCCGACGTCGCCATCTACGCCACCGCCGCCGCCCCCGCTGTCGTCGCCGTTCTCGTCGTCGTCATCCGCGTTTTTGACGTCGCCGCTGTCGTCGCCTCGCTGCTGTCGCCGCCGTCGTCGGCAGCGTCGTCGTCGCCGCCGCCGCCGTCGCCGTCGTCGTCGTCGTCGTCCTCGTCGCCGTCGCCATCGTCGCCGTTGTTCTTTCTGTCGCCGTCGTCGTCGGTAGCGTCGTCAGTGTCGTCGTCGTCGTCATTACTGTCGCCGTCGTCGGCAGCGTCGTCGTGGTCGTCGTCGCTGTCGTCGCCATCGCCGTGGCCGTCGTCGCCGCCGCCGCCGTCGCCGTCGCCGTCGTTGCCGTCGTCGCTGTCGTCGTCGTCGCCGACATTGTCGTCAATACCGCCGCTGCCGTCGTCGTCGACGTCGCTCGCCGTCGCTACCGCCGTCGTCGTCTCCGTGGTCGTCGTCGTCGCCGTCGTCGACATCGTCGTCGTTGCTATCGCTGCCGCCGCTGGCTGCGATGTCGCAGTCGTCGCCGCCGCCGCCGTCGTCGTCGTCGTCGTCCTCGTCGCCGTCGCCATCGCCGTCGTCGTCGTTGTGCTTGCCGTCGCCGCCGTCGCCGGAAGCGTCGTCGTCGTCGCCGTGGCCGTCGCCGTCGCTGCCGCCGCCGTTGCCGTCGCCGTCGTTGCCGTCATCGTCGTCGTCGCCATTGTTGTCGCCAATTCCGCCGCCGCCGTCGCCGTCGCTGTCGCCGATGGCGTCGTCGCCCTCGTCGTCGCCGTCGCCGTCGTCGTTGCCGTCGTCGTCGCCGCCGCGGCCGCCTTCGACGTCGTCGTTGTTTTTGACCTCGACATCGCCGTCCCCGTCGTAGCCGTCGCTGCCGCCGCCGTCGTTATCGCCGTGGCCGTCGGCGTCGTCGTCGTTGTCGCCGTCGCCACCGCCGTCGTTGTCGTCGTCGTCGTTTGTCGTCGTCGCCGTCGTCGTCGTTTGTCGTCGTCGCCGCCGTCGTCTCCGTCGTCGTCGCCGTCGTTGCTGCCGCCGTCGTTGTCGTCGCTGCCATCGTCGTCGTCGTCGTCGTCGTTTGTCGTCGTCCGCATCGTCGTCGTCGCCGTAGTCGTCGCCGTCGTTGTCGTTGCTGTCGCCGTCGTCGTCGGCAGCGTCGTCGTCGCCGCCGCCGCTGCCGTCGTCGTTGTCGTCGTCGTAATAGTTTGCCTTCGCCATTGTCGCTGTCGTCGTTGTTGCCGTCGTCGTCGATGCCGCCGCCGTGGTCGTCTTCGTCGTCGTTGTCGTCGTCGCTGTCGTCGTCGTCGTCACCGTCGTCCTCGTCGTCGCTGTCGCCGTCGTCGTTGCCGTCGTCGTCGTCATTACTGTCGCCGTCCCCGTCGCCGCCGCCATCACCGCCGCCGTCGTCGCCGTGGCCGTCGTCGTCCTCGTCGTCGTCGCCGTCGCCGCTGCCTTCGTCGTCGTCGTCGTTTGTCGCCGGCGTCGTTATCGTGTCGTTGTCGCCGTCGCCGCCGTCGCCGTCGCCGCCGCTGGCGGCGTCGTTGTCCTCGTCGTCGTTTGTCGTCGTCCGCCTCGTCCTCGTCGTCGCCGTCGTCGCCGTCGTTGTCGTTGCTGTCGCCGTCGTCGTCGCAATCGTTTGCCAACGCAGTTTTCGCTGTCGTCTTTGTTGCCGTCGTCGCCGCCGCCGCCACCGCTGTCGTCGTCGTCGTCGTTGTCGTCACCGTCACCGTCGTCCTCGTCGTCGCCGTCGCCGTCGTCGTCTCTGCCGTCGACGTCGTCGTCGCCGTCGCCGTTGTCGTTGCTGCTATCGCCGCTGTCGTCGGCTGCGATGTCACCGTCGTCGCCGTGGCCGCCGCCGCCGTCGTCGTCGTTGGCCTCGTCGCCGTCGCCAGCAGCGTCCGTGTCGCCGACGGCGCGCGGCCGCCCGGCGGAGGACGAGTCCGAGGCGCTGCTGCAGCAGGCGCTCGGCGAGGGGCAGCCCGCCAGGCCCGCGCCGCACGAGCCGGCGGAGGGCGCGGGCGGCGCCATCTTGGCCGCGCTTGAGGCCTAGCCCCAGCCGCAAGGGGGAGAATCGAGCAGCTAGGGGAACAAAAAGTGGCATAAACATAAAAGCTCAGAGGTCCTCGCGGATTTCTCGGATCGGCGCTGGGGCCCCCCAGCGGCGCCTCCGGTGTGGCAAATCCCATGTGTTTTTGGACCCTGACCCCGCGGATCTGCGTGAGGGGTGGCACCGAATTTCAGAAATGTGGCAAATCCCCTGTGTTTTTGGACCCTGACCCCGCGGATTTGCGTGAGGGGTGGCACCGACTTTCAGACATGTGGCAAATCCCATATGTTTTTGGACCCTGACCCCGCGGATCTGCGTGAGGGGTGTCGATTTCGAGCCCCCCCAGCAATTCAGACAACGCGCCCAGGTGAGGCTAAAAATCCTGTTTGGGCCTCCCCCCCCCTCGCGCGGTCAATCAACTAGTTACAGTAACCAGCAAGAAGTCAACTAGTTACAGTAACCAGCAAGAAGCAGAACTGTAACACTGGAAACTACAACCTACGACTGGTACAGGAAACTGCGAATCACGTGCCTACAGCCTGGTGGCCCCACAAGGGGGCCGGCGGATTTCTGATATTGCTCTTGCTTCGCGTTGTTATGTTGCATCCTCGCAGGACCTTGTCTGTCCCGTCGCGGCCCTATCCGCGTCGAATCCGTGTCGCATCCATGTCGGACCCGTCGAATCCGTGCCGAATCCGTGTCGGATTCGCGTCGGATCTACGCCAAATCCGCGTCGAGTCCACATCGAGCTCGCGTCGGGCACGAATTTTGGGGACAGGCGAGGTCCCCGGAAGATGCGACGTCGGCATTGGATGATGGGCAACATCTTCCACCACCACTACCACATGTAGGACGGAGGGGAAGGAAGGAGGAGCTCCTCCTCCTCCTCCTCCTCCTCCTCCTCCTCCTCCTCCTCCCTCTTCTGCCCCTGGTAGTGGTGGTGGAAGACCCACCATTGGAACTGCGAGAACGACAGGGCTTTCAGGGGCGCCGCCTTGGGTCGGGAGCCCCTGGCGCGCTCCGCGCGCCAGGGAGGGGGGTCCAGCGCCGATCCGAGAAATCCGCGCGGACCTCAGAGTTTTTATGCTTATGCCACTTTTTGTTCCCCTAGCAGTGGCGAAGCGTCTTGGCCCAACGGCAAAAAACACGTTTGCCTCGATGTAGTGGGTGGATTTGTTTTCGCGTCTGATCCAGGCCTTTTGCGAGCAGCGACTTCGCGAGTAGTTGCTCGTCGGCGACATTCGAACCCTACTCTCGCCGATCAATGAGCAGTGGCGAAGCGTTCGGTTTTGCCTAAAGGCCATCCACATAATGGTATTATAAAACTTTTTTGGTGGTCTGCACGAAACTACGAAACGTTTTTAGAACATTTCTGGCTTTATGGTCGGCTTTAAAAAACCACTGAATAAAAACATCGGCTGTATGGTCCAAGAACAGTGTCGTTGTTATGTTTGAGGACGTTTGGGTTCTAGTAATATTTCGTTGACGGCCTATAGGACTGGCGGGACGGTCGGTCCTTGCTCAAGAGAGGGACGCGTGGAGGGAGAAGCAAGGGACTGGAAAAGGGTATGGTTACGCCGGGGTGCGGTCTGCGATCGGTGCTGTTGGGGCTTGGGGGGCACCGCGTCGCCCTCGTCGCCTCGTCGAGGCGCGGCGGAGGAGTCTGGCGAGGTCCTCGCCCGCCCCCCAGGGGGCGGGTTGCAAACCACACCTTTTGCAAACCTCACCCTACGGAGCCTCCGAAACAGGAGGAGGAAGACTTCGATGTTCGAGATTGTCCCGCGTTTTCGTCGGTTGTCGTCGGTTTGCCAGCCTCGAGGTGCTCTCCAGCAGCTGCGCCTCGCCGAGAGGAGTTCGGGGTGCCAGGATCGTACTGGACGGCCGCCGGAGAATCGATCTGTGACCCGAAAACCAGGCGTCGACCATCATCGGGAGGAGGAGGGGGAGGAGGAGGAGGAGGAGGGGGAGGAGGAGGAGGAGGAGGAGGAGGAGGAGGAGGAGGAGGAGGAGAGGAGGGGGGGGGAGGGGGAGGGGGGGGGAGGGGGGAGGGGGGGGGGAGGAGGAGGGAGGAGGAGGAGGGGAGGGGGAGCCCCGTCGTGGCTGACTTGCTGGGCAGTGCTGTCCGAGCTGAACAAAAAGCTCGCTGCTCGAACGCCCCCTGCGTCGCGAAGAGGCCGATGAGCTGTGTCCAGCGGTGCGCCCAGTGGAGCGTGGGGGCGGCAGGCGAGCGGCTGTGGATCACCCGGTGCGCCTCGGCCGCGCGGTAGGGGAGAGGGAGGAGGAGGAGGAGGGAGAGAGGAGGAGGGAGGAGGAGGAGGAGGAGGAGGAGGAGGAGGAGGAGGAGGAGGAGGAGGAGGAGGAGGAGGGAGGAGGAGGGAGGAGGAGGAGGAGAGGAGGAGGAGGAGGAGGAGGAGGAGGAGGAGGAGGAGGAGGAGGAGGAGGAGGAGGAGGAGGAGGGAGGAGGAGGAGGAGGAGGAGGAGGGAGGAGGAGGAGGGAGGAGGAGGAGGGAGGAGGAGGAGGAGGAGGAGGAGGAGGAGGAGGAGGAAGAGGAGGAGGAGGAGGAGGAGGAAGAGGAGGAGGAGGAGGAGGAGGAAAAGAGGGAGAAGGAGGGAAGATGGAGGGAGGATGTGTGATGGGACGGCGGCGTGAGCGCGGACTCCTGTACTGATTGTCGAAAAGGGAAAGCAGCGAGAGGGAAAACAAAAGGCGGAGGAAAAAGGTGCAATTTATCTGGATGTCGGGCCTGTCCCTCTACAGGAGGAATATTTAATCAGAAGTAACAAATCGTCAGGGGACCATGTTTTCATTATTTGCCACTATTTTGTTGTATTTTTTTGCAGGCCCGAAATCCCCCCGTAGGAGGATAGGCCCGATTTAAATGTTTCCTGTATGGTTGGCCCCTCCCACCCGTGCCCTCTCTGAGCCTAACCCCTCTCCGCCAGTGTTGTGGCTCGGGGGCGCCCCTGAGTCCTGGTTCTGGCTGCCGGGCCCGACGCAGCGAGCAGTGACATCGGTGCATCCAGAGCGCTGGTGTTCCATCGCCCCACACAGGTCAGGCCATCGCAAGCATGGATTAACGGGGCGTGGATTAGCGACATCAAGATATGATATCGAGGCTGGTCGCTTACGCTGACAGCACGGTCGGTAGCGGAGCCGGTCTGGCCTCACGGGCAGGTTCGCCACGACGACGAAGAATGAAGATAAAGAATTGGCTCTTTGGATGGCGTCGTTGCCAGCTTTGATCCGTACGTGGTGGGAGTGAAGCTGCTCGTGCGCGGCACCAGGAAGGACGAGAGGGGCTTGTGAGGCCCCAGGCTGATGTCCAAGCTACACGTTCGCGCATGGCAGGGAGTTCAGAACTATGACAATTACATGCCTCGGTCAACTTGGAGGAAGGCCCGACGACCACACTTCCCAAATTACCCTAGTGTTCCTCGTGTTTGGTGGATGCTATTGTGCGTCCTCGGAAGGGTGCACTTGGACGTTCTGTGTGTTTTGCCCGACGGAGCTTCTCATGCTCTTGATTCGTGTTTTTCTGGCCTAGGTCCGTCTGCATGTGGGACATATGCCACATATCGTTCAGCCACGCGCAGAAAGGGGGTATGGGGCAAGGGGGAAGGCTTCTGAGAGCCCCCCTGCTTCTTAGAAGACGCGGGCCTTATCTATAGATGTAGCGTCGGCGCCTTCTGAGAAGCCTTCCCCCTCCTCCATACCCCCTTGGTGCGCGCCGCCAGACCGTTTTCGTTTTCTAATTCACCGCATGCGTCTGTGGACACATCTGGTGTCGTTGCGTACAGCGAAACACTCGGGGTGGACAGTTACGTCCAATGGACAATGCGGCCGTTGCGCTTGGCGCAGTGCGAGCTCGGAGGTCCCAACCGCTGCCCCCAGCAAGAGGAGGAGGAGGAGGAGGAGGAGGAGGAGGAGGAGGAGGAGGAGGAGGAGAGAGGAGGGGAGGAGGAGGAGGAGGAGGAGGAGGAGGAGGAGGAGGAGGAGGAGGAGGAGGAGGAGGAGGAGAGAGGGAGGAGGAGGAGGAGGAGGAGGAGGAGGAGGAGGAGGAGGAGGAGGAGAGGAGGAGGAGGGGAGAGGAGAGAGGAGAGGAGAGAGGGAGAGGAGAGAGGCCGGAGGAGAGAGGGAGGAGGAGAGAGGGAGGAGGAGAGAGGGAGGAGGAGGAGGAGGAGGAGGAGGAGGAGGAGGGAGGAGGAGGAGGAGGAGGAGGGGCAGGAGGAGGAGGAGGGGCAGGTCCGTCCGCCGTGCGCTCCTGCGCCCTGGCGCGGGCCCCGCACGGCACGCCGAGCGCCCGTAACGCGGGCACCCGCCCGGAGCTCCGCTGCCCGGCGCCCGTGCCCGTGCGCGGGCCCCCCGCCCCGGGGGCTCATGCGGTCCTGGGCCTCGGCGTCGACTGGACGTGAGAGTGACCTTTCTTACCAGCCTCGAACGTATCCCTAGCCCTAAGATTGACACGCGAAAAGGCGATGACAATCATAGGGATTCGCCCTCAGAAAATAAGGGAATCCCTAAGATTGGCATCGTGATGAGGAGGTGCCCAGCATAGGGATAGGGATCTGTTCCAGGCTGGTAATTTCGCCGGAGTGACCCTTTTGGTGCGGGCACAGGTGGGCCCTCGGGTGGCTGAGGACGGAGCGGCAGCAGCGGCTTGCGCGCCCAGGTGAGGTCTCCCCGCGGCCCCCGAGAAGCCGCGCACCACAGGTCACTCTTACCCAGGGTCACTCTTGCATGTAGCCGAGGGGGTGTATTCTCGGGACCTCGCAGAGCGGGTGGTGCCACAGGGGGAGAGCTAAGTTCGGTTCGTCGGCGCATCGAACCGCAGAAAAACTACGCAAGCAAAACGAGGTCTCCGGCCGCCGCCGGAACCCGAGAGGCGTCGACAATCCGGGCGCGCGGGGGGGCATCGTTTTGCGGAAATCCGATGCAGCAAGCGGATCGAATTCACCCCCCCCGTTCAGGGCCCCCCCTCCCCCCTTTGGCGGGCCCCGATATTCCAACATCGTTGATGAGTCTTGGGTTTACACTGGGTCTTCTTCCTCAACCTCCATGTCCTCCGTTTCATACTCCAGTTCCTCGTCGTCATCCATCTGAGCCGCCCGATCCGAGGCCGAGCCTTGTCAGGAAAGCGAGCGTCGTCTCGATTTTTCTGTCGACGCCGGGGGCCTCCCCCTCCAGTCCGGAGGCCGGCTGCTTTTCAAATGCGGCGCGCATTCAGCATGGTATGGAGATGAATGGCATGTTTTTTTATTTATTGCCCTTGCCGAGATGCGTGTTGTTTTGCCTTTGTGCCCACAGCGGGGCGGTCTCACAGCGGTAGTTCAGAACGCGTGCCGTAACATTGGCGGGGAGTGTTCTTGTGTTGTAGAGCGGCCGAACAGAAACACCCACCAAAGGGATTGCGCCGCGTGGCTCCGCCCAGGTGTTTTCAACGCACGCCTGCGTACACCTCGCACGATGCTTAAGAAAACGCAGTTTTGCAGCCAGAGTCTCGAAACTTCTTAATGAGAGTTCTCAATGCTATTAAGAACAGTTCTTAATGAGATTTGAGACCGTGGACATCTCTTAATGAGTTTTAAGACACCAGACCAAACATTTCTTAACCTATGATTTCTTAACCATTTCGCGAGGTGGAGGCACAGTCCACGCTTTCCGATCCAGGGGCTCCGCGAGAGCGCAGGTGGTGATGTCCGACATGGCGGGGAGCCTCGCCGCCGTCGAGACCGAGAACAGCAATGCGCGGGAGGCAGCGGGCGGCGGCCCCTGGCCCTGGGCGGGCAACCGCCGACTGCGGAATGGTTGGGAAGCCACCGCGAAAGAGGGGGAGAGGGGAGGGGGGAGGAGGAGGAGGAGGAGGAGGAGGAGGAGGAGGAGGAGGAGGAGGAGGAGGAGGAGGAGGAGGAGGAGGAGGAGGAGGGGAGGAGGAGGGGGGGGGGGGAGGAAGTGGAGGAGGAGGAGGAGGAGGAGAGGAGGAGGAGGAGGGGAGGGGAGGAGGAGGGGGAGGGGGAGGGGGAGGGGGAGGGGGAAGTGGAGGAGGAGAAGGAGGAGGAGGAGGAGGAGGACGGGGATGGGATTAAGTAGGAGGATGAGGAGGAGGAGGGGGTCAAATACGGGAGCAAGGCAAGGAGAGGACAAGGAGAGGAGGAGGAGGAGGAGGAGGAGGAGGAGGGAGGCTGGAGGAGGAGGGGGCGGGCCCTGCTGGGGACGGGCGGGGCCCCGACCCCCCTCGAGTCCGGGCACGCCCTCGGGGCCGGGGCTGAGCGGGCCCGCGCGCCCACCTGCAGGGCGCCGGGAGGAGCCCGGCACAGAGCGCGGCGGGGCGGCCAGCAGTCGGGGGCGGAAAAGAGGGGGGTGATGACTAGGGGGGGGTGGATATCATGGCGTGGGCCATGATGTTTCCCCAGATCTCATGGCGCCTCTTCTTGTTTCATTACGTCCCTGGCCCGCCCGCTGGGCCGCGCACATGCCGCTGGTCATGATTAGCACACCCCCCTCTTCGACACCCCCCTCTTTGCCGCTCCCGAAGCAGGCTCGCGTCGTGTCGACTGGCGGCGACCCCGCCGTTGGCGTTCGAGCAGTGGCGAAGCGTCCTCCTGGCTCGCCTGTTCAGGCCCACCAAAGAGTGTTATGATAATCTTCCGTCGTCTGCACGAAAGGTTCTGCGAGCATTTCTGGCTGGGGCTGTCCTGTTTGAACATATTGGGCTTCTGGACTAGGATCGTTCTTCTTGTTCTTAGAACATTTGGGGGTTCTAAAACCATGACGTGCTAGGCCTATAGGAATGCCGGGACGGTCGGTCCCTGTTCAAGGCGTTCAACGTTGAGCGCCGCCGGCAACCCATAATCGGTCGATGTTCAACGATCTAACGTTGCGAAAGCGGCCGATCGTTCGAGGTCGAACGATCCCGGCGGTGACAGGAACCACCCCCCTGGGTCGTCACGACTTGCCTCCCGAGGTGGGGATGCATCGGTGACCGCCTCTTGTGCGGTCGATCTTCGGGGACCTCGGTGGGCGGTGGACACAGAAATATGTTCGGGGGCGGAAAAGAGGGGGGTGATGACTAGGGGGGGTGGATATCATGGCGGGGGCCATGATATTTCCCCAGATCTCGTGGCGCCTCTTCTTATTTCATCACGTCCCTGGCCCCCCCGCTGGGCCGCGCATATGCCGCCGGTCATGATTTGCACCCCCTCCTCTTGGACACCCCCCTCTTGGCCGCTCCCGATATGTTTGGACCCTGGGGTTGGGGCCCCGACCTTTTTTCCCATCGAGGCTAGACCGAAGCCTGTGCAGACGAAGTGAATGCAAGAGACATGCACGCGCTGTCAAAACGACTCGTCGGGGCAACCCTCGGCTCGTGCGAGGGACAGGGCCGCACGGTCTAGCCCGACTTTGCTTCGCAGTCTCTTGCGAGGACGAATGCCCTCCCATCTGACTGCGTTGGGGGCCCAACTATCCTCATATCCGCCGCTGCCCCAGGGTTCCAGGGCATCGCCTCCTCGTGGGAGCACAGACCCAGGTTGCAGACCTGGGGTGAGTCGGATAGTCGGGGCTCAAGAGACGGGGGTCAATGAAAACGGGTGTCAGTCAGAGCGCCGGAGTTTGCAGGATCCTGCAGAGCGAGGGGCGCACTGACCCGGGCTTGCGTGCAGGATCCTGCAGGATCTTGCAGGATCCTTTGCACTGGCCAGTGTTGGGTGCAGGATGTTGCAGGGTCTCGCAGGATTCTGCAAGGCCCGACTGACCCGGGTCAGCAGGTCCCCGAGTGATCTTTCCTCTTGCAGGACGGAAAAATCACACAGACACAATTATTCGTCGAGTCCCAAGAAAATATGGGGAAATATGGGAAGTGGGCGGAAGACAAGCACCCAGCAATGTGTGAAATTATGGGGAATCCTGTCATGTGTGTCTGTTTCTTTTTGTGTCCCAGGGCCCCCTTCGTTCTCGGGTCCCTCCTTGAAGGCCTCCCGCACGGATGGGGGCCTGCCACCAGGGCTCGAGCTAAACGGTGTTTTGGCAATTTCGTGGACCGTTTTCGTTTTGGCCTCGTTTTGCAGCAAGCGTGGAACGAAGCCAGAACTAGGGATGACGAAGACAAAACGAACACGGAAAACACTGCTTAACTCGAGCCCTGCCTGCCACGGCAGCGTGCTCGTGGGGTCTACGAGGCAGGCGCGCGCTTCCCCGCGGGCCACACCCGCCGTGCGCCGCGCCAGGGCCAGGCATGGCGGCACGGCCGCCGCAGGGCCTGCTGCAGTGCAGGCTGCCTTGCGCTGCAGAAGGTCTCCACTGCAAGAGTGTTAAGGCGTGATGGGCCTGTTTTCCACCACCACCACCATAAGTTGGAGGGGGAGGGGGTCCTGCTCCTCCTCCTCCTCCTACTTTTCTTCGTCCTCCTTCTCCTCGTCCTCCTCTTCCTCCTTCCCCCCTCCAACTTATGGTGGTGGTGACGGAAAATACTCCCATCAAGGTGGGCCTGTCCTTCTACAGGGGGGGATCTTCGAACATAGTGACAAGTGACAAGATAGTCGTGGGAGGATTTTTCGCTTATTTTTTGCCACTTTGGGGTGTGTGCTGACCATCTGGAACTCTTCGGCCAAAATCCCCCTGTAGGGGGACATGCCCGACCTAGCGCAAGATTGCGTTTCGCATGGCATTTCTCATAGGGTATGAGTAGATCTCAGGAGGAAAAGAAACACACAAACACAATTAATCCTCGACTCCCCAGAAAATATTGGAAAATATGGGAAGTGGGGGGGAAGACAAAAACCCAGAAAATATGAGAAAATATGGGGAATCATTTTATTTGTGTGTATTTATTTGTGTGTCCTGGGGCCCCTTCAAGATCCCCGCATCGCAGAGGGGGGGGTCTTGTCAGGCAGGTCTGTAGGGGTACACGCCGGTCGTCGAACGTAGGCAGTTTCGGACTCCCAGATCCCAATTCCTTCTTCGACAAGGGCGCCCTCGAGGGCGCGAAGTTATTCGCGCTTCGCGCTTCGCGGTTCGGCTCCGATTCCTCCTCGTCCTCCTCTTCTCCCCTGGGAGGCGGCGCGAGAGCGCGAAGTTATTCGCACTTCGCGCTTCGCGCAGCGCGAAGCGCGAAATTGGGAGCCCTTACTTCGAGCGCCCCTCTGCTTCATGAGTCGATGTGCGTTTGCTGTGGTTTGCTGTTCTCTGGGAGGGCCTGAACCCAATCTACTTGATCCGCCTTCCCGCTTCATGATTTTGCCTTCTTCTGCTTCTTCTGGCCGACGTCTTGCGCGCTCGGGTTCGGCCCCTTCCGCGGCCCCCCCTGACGCCGCGCACCAGAGGTCACTCTTACTCCGGGTCACTCTTGAGCGTAGCCGACTATTGCACCCTGGAAGGGGTGTACGTTCTTGCACCCTGTAGAGCCAAGGTCGGCGGCGAGCGAGGGGTGGAAGTGAGAAGGGGCGGGCTTTCTCAGGCTCGGAAGTCCCCCAGCCTTCTGAGAATGTAAGCCCTCCCCGAAGACACTGACAGCTTCTCAGAAGGCCGGAGGCCTTCTGAGAAGCCCCGCCGCCTTTGAGAAGGCCTTCTCCTTCTCGTTTCCCCCCCCTCGCTCGCCGTCGACAAGGATCAGGAGGGAATGAAACACACAGACACAATTAATCGTCGATTCCCCAGAATATGGAAAAATATGGGAAGTGGGGGGGACGACAGAACCCCCGAAAATATGGGAAACTATGGAGTGTTTTTTTTGTGTGTCTGTATGTGTGTGTGTCTGTGTGCCTGTGTGTCTGTGTGTCTGTGTGTCTGTGTGTCTGTGTATCTGTGTGTCTGTGTGTCTGTGTGTCTGTGTGTCTGTGTGTCTGTGTGTCTGTGTGTCTGTGTGTCTATGTGTCTGTGTGTCTGTGTGTCTGTGTGTCTGTGTGTCTGCTGTGTGCCTGTGTGTCTGTGTGTCTGTGTGTGTCTGTGTGTCTGGTGTGTGTGTGTGTGTGTGTCTGTGTGTCTGTCTGTGTTTTGTCTGTGTGTCTGTGTGTCTGTGTGTGTCTGTGTGTCTGTGTGTCTGTGTGTCTGTGTGTCTGTGTGTCTGTGTGTCTGTGTGTCTGTGTGTCTGTGTGTCTGTGTGTCTGTGTGTCTGTGTGTGTCTGTGTCTGTGTCTGTGTGTCTGTGTGTCTGTGTGTCTGTGTGCCTGTGTGCCTGTGTGTCTGTGTGCCTGTGTGCCTGTGTGCCTGTGTGCCTGTGTGTCTGTCTGTCTGTCTGTGTGCCTGTGAGTCTGTGTGTCTGTGTGCCTGTGTGCCTGTGTGCCTGTGTGCCTGTGTGTCTGTGTGTGTCTGTGTGTGTCTGTGTGTCGGTGTGTATCTGTGTGTGTCTGTGTGTGTCTGTGTGTCTGTGTGTGTCTGTGTGTGTCTGTGTGTGTCTGTGTGTCTGTGTGTCTGTGTGTCTGTGTGTCTGTGTATCTGTGTGTCTGTGTGTCTGTGTGTCTGTTTGTCTGTGTGTCTGTGTGCCTGTGTGCCTGTGTGTCTGTGTGTCTCTCTGTCTGTCTGTGTGTCTGTGTGTCTGTGTGTCTGTGTGCCTGTGTGCCTGTGTGTCTGAGTGTCTGTGTGTCTGTGTGTCTGTGTGTCTGCGTGTCTGTGTGTCTGTGTGTCTGTGTGCCTGTGTGTCTGTGTGTCTGTGTGTCTGTGTGTCTGTGTGTCTGTGTGTCTGTGTGCTTGTGTGCCTGTGTGTCTGTGTGCCTGTGTGCCTGTGTGCCCGTGTGCTTGTGTGTGTCTCTGTGTGTGTGTG